TTTTTACTTTATGGTTCCTGTTGTGTGAGATGTCCTGTTTGCCTTCTTTATGGTGATGTGGAATGTTTTCATCAGGGAATATGCACAGGCTCCGCCCACACAACAGGTGTAGTCAAACACAACTCAGTCACGCCTTGATAGGTTGCCATGGTACGTCAGTGGAAAGTACCATTCTGTCCTCTGCAGAAGGGGGGTATGACTTAATTTTAAGTTTTAAGTTAGAATAAATCCTTCTGTAATTTCTTACAATTCTATTCAAAAATGCATGTTGTTTTACAAAAATGTAGTTGAGTTATTTTCTTACTTAAGTGACACATCCCCTGCTTTTTCTTATCTAAGTGGTAGTGTCCGAGGCATTGAGTCTCCTGTGACATCTAAGTGGTAGTGTCCGAGGCATTGAGTCTCCTGTGACAGGTGTGTGTCAGTCAGAGACTGTCTATCTGATCTTTGAGATAGAGTTAAATGTCCAGCCCAATGTCACGGTCTCACAGATGGCTGTTGACGTGAGATGGCTGAGCCAACCTGGGCTTAACTAGCCCAGTGACAGCATGGCATTTACTCTTGATCACTCTAATGAGGAGTACTTTGAGTTTGACTCCTCTTCAGAGATCCTGGAAATATCTACCTCGTCTTACATTAGCTCAAACAGTGCTGATGATGAGGATAATGAGGAAGATGCAAAGCCGTATACCCTGGAGGAAGGTACAGTACCTGTGCCCTTTGATATTTTGATCCTTTTAAAAGTCAAAAGTCCTAGTGCTATCAAAGACACGTACTGTCACAGTAACTCGATGTCTTTCAGCAATGGTCAAGTTGAAATTATTGCTCATTTTGAAATCTAAACAATCTAAACAATCTAAACAGGTTTTTCCATCCTTGGTTGGTGATGACATAGAGCATATAAAATGTACACAATGCGTTAGATTCTTCATCTTGTCGGGTTTCCTCTTCTTTCTGATCTTATCAATATTTGTATTTCATAATATTCGGTGTAAACACTCAGGCAGTCATTTGTGTTAGAACATCATTACTGATGTTTGTGCTGAAGGACATCGGGGAGATACACAGTTTGAATCATTTAGTTTCAGTGTATTAATCATAAAGTTTCAGGAGCAAGTA